TTTAATGCAAGTGCACTTACATAACCAGTCAATAGTTTGGAGTCAGAAAGCTTTTTAAGCTCTTATTCTCACCAAGGCTGCATTTATTTGTTCAAAAATACAGCATAAACAGTAATATTGTGAAATGTTATTACAATTTTGAATAACTGTTGTCTATTTGAATATATTTTCAAATGTAATTTATTCCTGTGATCAAAGCTGAATCTTCAGCATCATTATTCCAGTCTTTAGTGTCACATGACCCTTCAGAAATCATTCTAATATGCTGATTTGCTGCTCAAGAAACATTTATCATCACTGTTGAAAACAATGGTGACGATTCATATTTTTTTGTGGAAACCATGTTATCGGTTTTCCAGGACTGATGAATAGAAAGTTCAAAAGAATCACATCCATTTGAAATAAAATTATTTTAAAAGTATGGTCTGAGATTGAATCTCAAATGCCAGAACTCAAGCACAGGATATGAGGCATACTATGGTGAAGGTTTGCCTCATGAATATTAATTAATTGCATGACTGGGCAGTCTAGAAAGGTTACCAAGCAACGTCAGCATGGCCTAATTAATATTCATGAGATTAGCCATCACCATGTCATAACAACTGCTGACTGGACTGCAAATGTAATGTCCATTGCAGCATTTCAGTCAATTCTTTATATAAAAAGAGGTACTTCATATTTCATCTTTTCTAGTTTTCCACACAAACCCTCAGCTGCATATTTTCATGCATTTAGAATTCTGAGAAAAATGGGAATTTGTATTAAATTTGCCACACTGTTTGACTATGATTGAACAACATTGACATAACTTTCTCTCAACTCTCTAATGCTGGAGCGATATGTCACTTCTCACCACTGGCGTATAACCCCCCTGGTGTAATCCAATTATATACATTGTGCATCTGCTAATACAGTACATTTGTCAGATGTCAAATATAGGCTCTTCAAGATTTATTAGATTTCAGTAAAATACCATAAAAACCCCACAAACCAGCTTTTAATAGCACTAGAACAGAGTGTGAAAATGTGTTGTATCTACCATCTGGATCTACACACTTATGCTGTCACATGTTGCCAAAACAGTTGTTTTATACATATTTCAAAGCTGCATCTTCAAGATATTTAGTTTTTCTTTTTCACGCAGTGAGATTTGAAGTGTCATCAACAATTATTGTAATTTAAACTGTGTGGTTATGCTGTAAATATGGATAACTGACACGGTCCATAATGGCTGAGGTCATTCTGGTATCGAATGGCTTTTTTTGTGAGCGAGCGGTGTATGTTTCTCTTCTCTCTCTGTGTCAGCGGTGACAGCACAATCCCAGGAGACCCGAACGATCAATAGAGTGTGAGAGAGGGGTTCACAAAACTAATCAAACTTGTGTTACGTATGTCACCTCTACACAGCCAGTTCTGATATACTGTAAGAGAAATCTCTCTGTAAACAGTGCAGATACACTTGCATAAGATGTCCGAAATAAAAAAAAAACAGGGACATTTCTAGTTTAGTAAATCAATATATCATTGAAAATTAAATTTTTCCTCCATGTGGTAAAAAAAGGTGGACTATTTTGCTTTTGTGTGTTTTGACCATTGTAAATGTTACTGTAGTGAACTACGATATATCACACTCTATCATAAAACTCTAAATTGCACTACCATTGAAAAGCATGAGGTCAATAAGATTTCTTTCTTTTTTCAACAAGTGGTTACTTCTTTTCAGCAAGGAAGCAATAAATTGATCAAAAATGACAGTAAAGACACGTATAAGCTTTCGAAACTTTTCTATTTCAAATAAATGCTGTTCATGTGAACTCTGTTCATCAAAGAGTTCTAAGCGTGGAAAAAAACTTTACCAATATCAGCATATTAGGATCATGTGAAACTGAAGAATGAAGTAATGTCTGCAGAAAATTCATCTTTCCATCACATGAATAAATTACATTTTAAAATATATTCAAATAGAAAACAGTTATTTTAAATTGCAATAATATTTCACAATATTACCGTTTTTCTTGTATTTTTTTAAATGCAGCCTTGGTGAACAAATAATAAATAAATAAAGATGATTGGACACCCTACGCTTTCAAATCATTAAGCAGATATGAGGACCACAAAATGATGACATACATGACCCTCTCGTGTTTGTGTTATGATGAAATATAAAATAAGGTATAAACAGAAATATGTATAATTGACTCATCAGCTTGCTGATGGGAATTGAGAACCAATCAGACAGCCACTGGGGAGGCCAGAAAACTCCAAACACAACACTATAATGAATAAGCTTTTAGTTGAGAAAAAGATAATTTCCCCCCCCCATGCAGAACACATATGATTCCTGTATTTTAGTATGAGGGGGGTCCTAACCCCTAATAAAGTCTAAGAGGTCATTATTTACTCACCTTCATGCCATTCCACACCTGCATGACATTCTTTCTATGGTAAAGTAGTCAATTTGATTCACACACTGATTCGTACGAGGAACAGAATCAAATTTAAATATTTACTCACTGAAAATCTTGACATGCATCATTGTCCTCCTTGGTGTGCTCATGAGAGAAGAACAGATGTTTGATTCATGAATGAATCCTATTGAGTCAGACTTTCTTGATGAATCAGTTCATCCAGTTCACAAAGCTCACTGAAAGAGAAAAATAGCAGTTATTTTATTCAACAAAATGCAGTTTGTTCTTCAAACAAAGCATATGGATGACTTCAGAAGGCTTAGAATAGAGTGCACGAGTCATGTGTCGTATTTTTAGGGTGTCTTAATAGTACTCTTGCATCTTTTCTGAAGCTTTCGTCCCCATGGGGACTAAATGGATGAAAAAGAACGACCAATATGATTTTCCTAGTTGTTCATGGAAAAAATAGCAGCATAAGGGTTTGCACCCATGAGGGTGAGTACGTAGATCTCTTAGAGAGGTGCATTTGGTTGCACTTTATTTTGTGACTTCACTAGGCTTAATATAATGAACTTTAAAAAAAAAAATTAACAACTGCTATGGGAGCATTAAGCATGACATAAGTAATATATGCCTTCCTACAACTTGCAGCATGGTTGTTTTAGTATTTTTGAGATTTACATTTTTTTATTAATATTTTAAATTTAATTTAATATTTTACGTTTTCATTTTAATTAAAGTTTTAGTATTTTGGTTGTGTATTTACGTCAGTTTTAATAGTTATTGTTTTATTGTAAATATTTCTACTTTCAGTTTCAGTTACTTTAGTATAACAAAGTTAAACTAAATGAAAATCACTTGAAAGTTTTTTTTTTTTAATTATTATTATTATGGAAGCCCACTTTTGTCACTGAATAAAATATAAAATAAAAAAAGCAAAATGTGACTTTTTATCTCACAATTCTGACTTTTGTTTCTCACAATTGCGAGTTTCAATTAATTCAATTAATTAAATCCTGCCATTCTGACTTAACATCTTGCAATTCTGACTTTATAACTCGCAATTGTGAGTTTATATGACACAATTCTGAGAAAAAAAGGATTGTGAGTTTATATCTCACAATTCTGACTTAATTTCTTAGAATTTATGTCTCATAATTCTGAGAAAAAAAAATCTGAATTGTGAGATAACGGTAAACGTGAGATAGCTTTGCGGTAAAAATGAAACAAAATCGCAATTACTTTTTTTATGCTTTTATTCAGTGGTGGAAATGGGCTTCCATATATTTTAGCTTATTACAGTTAATGTTTACTTTATTTCAAGTAACAAAAATGTATGGTTTCATTTTTTAGTTAACTACAATAACCCTGCTTTGCGGTAAACATGAAACTAAATCGCATCCACACAGGTTTGCCTCCTACAATTGCCTATGCCAGGACATAAAACTTCTAAAGTAAAGATAGCTATTTCTCTAAGCAGCAAGCTAGTGTGCTGTTAATGCAATTGAGTGTGTAATAGATACCGAATTCAGTTCCAGGACAGAGAGGAACGGTGCTTTACAATGACGCAACCTCCAAATTGAGGTTTTAATTGTTATGTGTCAAATTATCTACATCCTGATAACAGTGGTTAGAAAAGCCTCTAAAATCGTTTCCAATTATAGTGTACATTTAGCCGTAAGTGGACAGATTATGAAATTGTAGGGTGCAATGCTTAGCGTGACACTCTTAGAACGGAATCTGTTTTTTGGTTCTTCTTATTTACTGCTGAGGAAAACAAGGGCTGTTTTTGCAGCTTCTTTCGGCCGTTGATTGTTCATTTAGTAAATATGAAACATTTTATGGCACCTATGCTGATTGGATATTTTGTCCAGGGCTGCATGGCTAGCCTCTTCTGGTAAAATCCTAATCAGGAAAAGAGGAACTGCAATTAAATGGAGAGGCCTGTCGGGCTTCCTCTTGTTGCTAAGAGACAGGTGTAAAATGAAAGTTCTGCTCTGAAGGAGTGTTTTGTGTAATTGTGACTGTTCGGCACAAAACCAGCCGTATCTTTTCTCCACAGTTTGAAGGTACAGGAGTCTATTGACAGTTTTCTTAGATATCTGCCATATGCCGTCAACCACGGCAAACACAGAGCTTTCTACACAGTAAGTTCTGCGCTCCTGCAGATAATGGCGAGATCGCCATTCGGCGCTTTGTGTTTGCTGTTGAAAAGGAGAAGGAGAATTGTGAAACTATTACTGATACTGATGTGAATGAAATACTTAAGTCGAAATTTCAAGCTGCACCCACAAAGAAAATTAAACCGAGCGCCCGGGCCTTTGAGCAAAATCACATTCATATTCACATATTCATGACTCATTTAAAAACATTGCTCAGGAAACACATTCTGACTTCGGCCAGCAAGGGCTTAAACTGCATTTAGCGAATGGTTTAATTTCTGTTTCCATTTGCACAAGGTTTAGGGCCACCGCCTGAACATTTTGCTTTGACAGACTGAGTATATTTGCGAACAATTTGCCAGTCGCACGCTAAGAAAACAGTTAATTCGGGAACTGTTAATTCCAACAAAACTCTCTTTGCTCTTGTCAGCTTCACTCAGACATGGACCATGAAGATGGAAATGTGAAGTACGTCCTCACCGGAGATGGGGCCGGAACTGTTTTCGAGATTGATGAGAACTCGGGTGATATCCACGCCACCAGGAGGCTTGACAGGGAAGAGAAAGCATTGTATACACTGAGCGCCAAAGCCGTCAACAAAACCTCCGGACAGGATCTGGAGAGGGCCTCGGAATTCATCATCAAAATCCATGACATCAATGACAATGAGCCAAAGTTTGCCAAGGACACCTACGTGGCCAGTGTATCAGAGATGTCGAATGTTGGTGAGTATGAGTTGCTGGCAAAAGATGTTCTGCCAAATTCACAAAAGTTATTTTTTTAAGGAGAAAATGTATTGTTATGGGTTATATAATGCTTTTCTGCTTATATGGGGTGGAAGGAAATTAAAGTTTGCCAAGGACACCTACGTGGCCAGTGTATCAGAGATGTCGAATGTTGGTGAGTATGAGTTGCTGGCAAAAGATGTTCTGCCAAATTCACAAAAGTTATTTTTTTTAAGGAGAAAATGTATTGTTATGGGTTATATAATGCTTTTCTGCTTATATGGGGTGGAAGGAAATGAAACTTTTCTGAAAATGTACTCACCTTCAGGCCATCCGGGATGTAGATGAGTTTTTCTTCATTTGAACAGAGTTGGAGAAATGTAGCATTACATCACTTGCTCACCAATGGATCCTCTGCAGTGAATGGGTGCCGTCAGAATGAGAGTCCAAACAGCTGACCACAAAAACATCACAACAATTTACAAGTATTGTTAATCATTAATATCTTTTGGAAGGAAAATCTGCATGCTTATGGCGTTTAAACCTTTGCTTCTAGACAAAATATAGATCCATAATCTATTATAACGCTTCCTCCAGTGAAAAAGTCCATCTCCTGCTGTCTCTCAATTCAAAATCCACAACATATGTATTTAGGATTGTTTTGACTCGTAAATGGTGCTTGATCCGTGTATATTTCTCCCCTGATTCGGATGAGTTGACTTTTTCACTGGAAATCAATATAGAGATAGAGGACTTGTATTTTAGCCTGAAGCAACAGTCAGAAGTTAAAAACGTCTTGATGGATTTATTACAAAGAAGCAGCTTTTCACATACATTAATTGATGGACTGGAGTCACGTGGATTACTTGTGGATTATTGTGATGGTTTTATCAGCTCTTTGGACTCTCATTCTGACGGCACCCATTCACTGCAGAGGATCTATTGGTGAGCAAGTGATGGAATGCTACATTTCTCCGAATCTGTTCTGATGAAGGAGCAAACTCATCTACAGATGAAAAGCCTGAGGGAAATACATTTTCAGCAAATTTTCATTTTTTGGACGAATTATTATTTTAATATAATTACTATCATTTTATGTATTTATTTATTTTTTTACAGGGAACCGAAATGTACAATATCAACATTTTGTCAGTTTCTAAAATGTGATTATTTACTTCAGAAACATACATATTTACAATCCCACTGGCTGGAACTGGAATTGCAGTTCTCCACATTTGACATACAAAAACTCATGAATACATCAAATGACAACTATTTTGTAGATTTTTACATCCAGGTGCAAGTTATTTTCATTAATGTCACTCACTCACTCACTCACTCACACATACATACACACAAATCTCAGTCACATCAAAATGCCTCCATCTATTTTGTAGATTTTTACATCCAGGTGCAAGTTATTTTCATTAATGTCACTCACTCACTCACTCACACATACACACAAATCTCAGTCACATCAAAATGCCTCCATAAAAAACATCCAAAGCAAAATAAGCTATGGACTTTTTAAATATATAAAACAGGCTTAAAAACAAAAGATTTCAGAAGGATAATTCAAAATGATTACATGTTAAGCAGAAAAACCGGATGTGTGTTTACCAAGCAGTCAAAATGGTCTCCACCATGACGAGCAGAGTGACATTGGCCAATAAAGGGAAACACTAACTAAACGGAAAACACTTTCTTACAGCCACTTAATCAACGCTGATTAAAACTATGACAAACATTCAACTTCACGTGATTTTCAGGGAGGATAAAGATCTTACAATATCCCATCTGAATTCATTCAATTATCAGTGATTTTAAACCCATTAAGAGAGGCAGAGAGAATCAAAGTAAATGAACGGGATGCAGCAAGCTGAAATCAATTACTCTTCACGAAGCAACAAATTAACCCGCAGGTTTATCTCAAATGAATCAAAACTCATTTGCAGTTCCGACAAAAACAAGGCAGCCGGTTTTGATTAAAGATTTTGTGCTATGATAAGATAATCATTGTGGATCTTAATCATTGTGACCTGGCAAATGAATCAAAGATTAATCACTAGGAAATGAGGAAATTGTGTTTGAAGTGGTCCTGGTGTACCTTTTTGTGTTTGTCAATTCATAAAGCACTGTTTGAGAACGCCTGACAATGTGTCAGAGGTTACCAAACAGAAATTAAATATTTTCACATTTTTACTTATGCCATTTTGACACCTTAATAATAATTAGAGGGTGAGATGTATTGCCCCCTAGAGCACAATCTTCATCATAGAAATGGCCCATCACATCAACCGGCCTTATGTTGTAGATGCTTTTTCCATAATTTCTGTTGAAAGGAGAAATATAATATAATTTAGACATATTAATTATCATGTTAGTTATCACATCTATCCTTGTCTAGAAAACAAAGATTCACTGCTTACCTCACTCTCGCATTACAGAAGAAACAGGACTAGAAAATGATCTTGATTGAAACGGACCTTTCCTAGTTGGTTAGGACAGGTTATTTAACCCCTGCTGGTTGATGCCATAACTAAACCATCTAGGCCAAAGCAGCATTTCTCTTTCAGTGACTATTCAAGAAGTAGCCGTGTTGTCTGATGCAATGGGGGAAAAAAAGTTAGTAAGCAACATGCTGTCAGAAATATTTCATTATATTATAGCAGATGCTTCACTAGTCCCCAGTATTTTTTGAAGCATGAAATGGACTAATATTTTTCCCTGCCTTTCAAGTCACAGCTCAGTCACTAGTGAAGGGTTTGGGACTGTATTCATTCTTGAGGTGTCATCGGCCAATCAGCACTATCGTCACGTCCTTGTCATGACATTTTCAATGCGACATCAAAAAGAAATGTGCTATTAAAGCGTAAAGGTATTCAAAATTCTGTTAAGTTCTGGACGTCTCATTGGAGAATAGATCTTAATGCAACCGTGTTTGTTACAACATTGATCCCTGAGGCGTGAAACACTACCAGTCATCCTTTCAGACGAATGCAAGACCACTCCACTCAAGCTTCAGGGACTCTCAGTTGGATTCTTACATTCCAGCGCCTGATCTCCTATATGCCTCTGCCATCGAGAGTCTCAAAGCACCTGTGTTTTACAAGCAATGTTGTTTAATTCAGATTCTTAACATGATACCTGGCAGATTCACTGTCACTACCGATATTTATTTCCCTCATAGATGTAAAAGCACGTCACGTTCCAACAGTTCAACTGTGGCCAGAGTTATTTATTCAACACAATCTGGTAAAAGCAGCCTTGTAAATGGACCACAGTCTTTTCCCCTCAGGCTTTTGCTCTTGAAACCCAAGCTCAGCCTTTCTTTTCCGTTTCTCTTTCCGTCAGGCTCGTTCTTCCTTTCATATCCGTATTTCTCTGTGGGGTTCAAAGTTACATCATCCCCGGTACTCCGTAACATAAATGGGACACTGTGCTCATTTGACACTTCGCTTGAGCTCTTCCTTTCTCCCGACCGTGTACGAATTCAGGAACGGCTCTGCTTGCCAAACCGTGAGGTCACGGTGGCACTCGCGTTTAAGACGAACAAACCGGCCATGTGTTGCGAACGTGCCTGCCGTTAATCAGATCCGGCCATCCATGAAGACTGACACTCTGTTTCCCTCCGTGTTATCGGAATAGGACCGGAGGGCGACAGATGTTTCCGCATTCATTAGTATTCTTCAAGCTGTTCAGAGAGTGAATGCTGCTCGGCAGAGATCTTGTTGATGCCAAGGACGCCGCTGATCCATGGCAGAAACAACATGTGCATTCGGTCCACCTTCAGAGGTGAGACTGAGAAGCCGCGAAGTCACCTCTAAAGTCTATTGAGAAGAACAAACAGTAAGATGTCAGTAGTACACAAATGAGAATGGAGAAACCTCTGAATCTACTCGCAGGAAGCCGTGAGTGTAATGGAAAGCACGGTTGTTGGCAACTACGAATGAGGAGTGATTTTGCCCTTCACGTGGCAGGAGAAAAATTGTTGTGTCTAGTTATTGTCTGAGACCAGGCCAAGATCAGACTTTTGTTGTGGGTAATGGTGTACTACACACTTGAAAACACTACAAGACTTTCAAGTAGAACAAAGGGTGAGTGATACAGCCACAAAGAGAGAGAGAGAGAGAGAGAGAGGGAGAATATTTATATTGTATAGCCTTTTGATGACATTCAAAATCAATTCTGAAGATGGCCAGAGAACCACTGAAAACAGAACAGATCAATCAAACACATATACAATATATGTTTCAATAAAACATTACATCAATAAAAACAGCAATACTTAATAGTTTTAGGTAAAAAAAGTGAAGAAACATTATAGTATAGTACAATAGTATAGCATAATTAATACATATATATATATATATATATTCAAACAATAATATAAATACTTTGTAATTACATTAAAGTATAGTATTTGTACAATAGATATTATATAAATATTTAAAATTATATAAATCAATTATGTAAAACAAAAATCGAAAATATATATATATTTCTGTCATGACAACTCTCGAAGGGATTGGCATGGTAATGTACATGTACATTAATGCATTTGGTATTGGCGGAATAGATCTGCTACGCTGCTGCTGCTGCTGCTGCTGCAGAGCAAGTACCGAGACTTGCTACTGCCAATACATCCACAACATGCTGCTGTGAGCATGTAAGAAATATTGCTGCTGCAAGCATAACATACATGAAATAATTCATATCAGAGACAATTTTTTTTGCCTCCTACAGATGTCCAAAGCTGTGTCAGGCTGAAAACGAACCCCCCGAAATCATGTTAGTTTTAGATTAATTGGTCTAATTATAATGTTTCTTTGAGCAGATTATTAGTCTGACGTTTCCCAGCAACATACAGCAGATTCCATCAGAGCGGAAAATGAATGGGATGACCCAGAGAGAGCGGGCAAAAGAAAAACTACAATTAAAGATATGTCCATCTCACCGTGCAGCTGGAGTAATTATGAGACTAGGATTTAGATCAGAAACACACCGAGATAAAGAAGATGAAAGCGATCATACATTCGCCTTGATCACTGCTCATGCTGGGAAGGAGGGGGTCTCATCATATAGGTTAATAGCCACTTTTACAACTAGGAATTTGTCGTTCATGGTGCACCTTTAGGATGCGCTGCTTTGATCATGGTTGAGGTTTTAATACTGGATGTGGGGATCATGCGTATGTCATGTTAGGGCTTAAATACCTCTCTCTATAATTCTCTTTTGCTTTCTCTCTCTCAAGGTGCATTCGTAATGAGAGTTACAGCCACTGATGCAGATGATGAAGCATATGGAAACAGCGCCAAGCTGGTTTACAGCATTCTGCAGGGCCAGCCATATTTCTCAGTCGAACCTGAAACGGGTAAGTTGGGAAAAGATGAGAGAACAAGCATGATTTGAAATGATTAAAAGATGGGATACAACAGTAAGGTGATACAAGATTTGCTAACATGTGTGGGTGAATCACATAAAGCCTGTCGAGAAAATATGTCTTGATCATATTTCACCCTAAAACCAAAGGATAAGAAATTATATTTTGCACGAAGAAAACGAAGACACACACATAGACACAATCTATCAGTCTGTATTTTTGTAGTTGTTATCATTTATTTCTATTCTAATGTAATAATGTATTTTAATTTATGTATTTTAGTTAATTTAGTATGATTTAAGTGTGTGGTGCTTTTAAAGACATTTTTTTTGGTACTGAAGTTTAAATTAGAGAAGCTATTTAAACATCTTTAATGACACTTTCATACGGGCGAGTAGTGAGTTAAGGAAGGATTGCAAAATTACTTATGACATCTTGTGAATCACCAGCAAAAATATAAAAAATATTGTGAATATTCAATATATACTGCTTAGTCTATAGTAGAACATTACTGTAGAGCCAAATATAAGCAGCCAAATGAGTTGGTTTACGTTACTCCATAGCCAAATTTCAAACAGCTTTTCATATCAGAGACAATTTTTTTTGCCTCCTACAGATGTCCAAAGCTGTGTCAGGCTGAAAACGAACCCCCCGAAATCATGTTAGTTTTAGATTAATTGGTCTAATTATAATGTTTCTTTGAGCAGATTATTAGTCTGACGTTTCCCAGCAACATACAGCAGATTCCATCAGAGCGGAAAATGAATGGGATGACCCAGAGAGAGCGGGCAAAAGAAAAACTACAATTAAAGATATGTCCATCTCACCGTGCAGCTGGAGTAATTATGAGACTAGGATTTAGATCAGAAACACACCGAGATAAAGAAGATGAAAGCGATCATACATTCGCCTTGATCACTGCTCATGCTGGGAAGGAGGGGGTCTCATCATATAGGTTAATAGCCACTTTTACAACTAGGAATTTGTCGTTCATGGTGCACCTTTAGGATGCGCTGCTTTGATCATGGTTGAGGTTTTAATACTGGATGTGGGGATCATGCGTATGTCATGTTAGGGCTTAAATACCTCTCTCTATAATTCTCTTTTGCTTTCTCTCTCTCAAGGTGCATTCGTAATGAGAGTTACAGCCACTGATGCAGATGATGAAGCATATGGAAACAGCGCCAAGCTGGTTTACAGCATTCTGCAGGGCCAGCCATATTTCTCAGTCGAACCTGAAACGGGTAAGTTGGGAAAAGATGAGAGAACAAGCATGATTTGAAATGATTAAAAGATGGGATACAACAGTAAGGTGATACAAGATTTGCTAACATGTGTGGGTGAATCACATAAAGCCTGTCGAGAAAATATGTCTTGATCATATTTCACCCTAAAACCAAAGGATAAGAAATTATATTTTGCACGAAGAAAACGAAGACACACACATAGACACAATCTATCAGTCTGTATTTTTGTAGTTGTTATCATTTATTTCTATTCTAATGTAATAATGTATTTTAATTTATGTATTTTAGTTAATTTAGTATGATTTAAGTGTGTGGTGCTTTTAAAAAAAACACATACATTTTGCTCTCATGTACTAATAACCTTATCACAACATCATTTGAAGACTGACATCCTACTCAATTAAAACTCACTCTTTAAAATACCCCAAGGCAGGGAATTAATTTCCTTGGTTGTGTTTTTTTCCCTCGTCCAACCTTCTTTTTTAGCATGACATTAAGATATAAATAATGAAGTCAGAGAAGCTCATTAGATAGCACCTAACAAAACCTGTGTCCATCCATCCTGTCAGGCGTCATAAGGACGGCGCTTCCGAACATGATTCGAGAGAACCGGGAGCACTATCAGGTGGTGATTCAGGCTAAGGACATGGCTGGACAGATGGGCGGTCTCTCCGGGACCACTACAGTCAACATCACTCTCCAGGATGTCAACAACAGTCCTCCTCGTTTCCCCCACAGTAAGACAACACACACTCTCCTCTTACATGCATGTGTTGACCTGAAGGAGACATCTTCGCTTCCGAACATGATTCGAGAGAACCGGGAGCACTATCAGGTGGTGATTCAGGCTAAGGACATGGCTGGACAGATGGGCGGTCTCTCCGGGACCACTACAGTCAACATCACTCTCCAGGATGTCAACAACAGTCCTCCTCGTTTCCCCCACAGTAAGACAACACACACTCTCCTATACATCGCATGTGTTGACCTGAAGGAGACATCTTGACATCAGTATTGGATTTTGAATTAGAAATGAACACAGATTAAACACAGGTGATGCATTCAGGGAAATAAATTGTTCTTCCACCCTGGTCCACAAAAGCATTTTTTTTATCTATCACCATAAGGCCTATAGTACAGCAATCTTTTTTTGTAATCAAGCCAACATTTGTTGTCTAGACAAACCTTTTTTTTTAGCTAAAATTATTAATTTTAAATTCAGTTGAATTCTAATTCCTTGATTGCATATACAATGCAATTCCGAATCATGTTTGCTACCTCAATTTGAATCAAATTAAAGAACTGAACTGAACTTCAAATTCAGATCAAATCAAATTTGACAGAAACCTTTATCCAAAGCAATTGGTAAAGCATTCAAGCTATATTAAATTAATGTGTGTGATCTCAGGGAATCAAAACCTTGACCTTGGCATTGTTAACAGCATGCTCTACCATTTGAGCTACAGGAACAATTTCCCTTGCTGTAAATCTTTAACTCAAAAGGTCTGATGTAAAAAGCAGCCACTATCTAACACACAAAATGCAAAGTTCCCCTTCGGGAACTCGAGCTGCGTCGGAAAACGCTAGGGGAACGCCACTGTACGCCCTGAAGTGGAGGCTCTTCACTGCATGGTGCGGAGATCGCCTGCTTGACCCAGTTAACTGCCCGATTGGTACAGTGCTAGAGTTCTTGCAGGCCCGTTTCTCCTCGGGGTTAACCCACTCCACCCTGAAGGTCTACGTGGCGGCCATAGCGGCCTACCACGCCCCTCTTTGTGGTCACTCGGTGGGCAAGGACCCTCTGGTTACACGTTTCCTTCGCGGTGTGATGAGGCTGAGGCCTCAGGTACGATCTCGTGTCCCTCCTTGGGACCTCGCTGTGGTGTTAGAAGCTCTCTGTAGGCCTCCCTTTGAGCCTATCGAGGAGATATCGGAGCGTCTTCTTACATTAAAGACTGTGTTTCTCTTAGCTGTATCTTCTCTGAAGAGAGTTGGGGATCTGCAGGCCCTTTCTGTGGCGCCTTCCTATCTCGACTTTGCGCCCGGTCTGGCCAAAGCTTTTTTATACCCTCGTGCGGGGTATGTCCCTAAGGTCCCCTCCTCTACACCACGGCCTGTCGTACTCCAGGCTTTTTATCCTCCTCCTTTTAGGGAGCCCGACCAGCAGAGGCTTAATTGTATGTGTCCAGTGCGAGCACTGGACGCTTACGTCCACAGAGCTGCCCAGTGGAGAAAGGCGTACCAACTGCTTGTGTGCTATGGTCGCCCTAAGAGAGGTCATCCTGCTTCCAAGCAGACCCTCAGCCGGTGGATAGTTGATGCCAATACTGTTGCCTATGAGTCCTCTGATCTCCCTTCACCATTGGGGGTCAAGGCTCACTCGACAAGAAGTGTGGCGGCCTCCAAGGCCTTTCTGGCAGGAGTTCCTATGCAGGACATCTGCA